ATCAATGTTTTAGTATGACTTTTTCATTTTCATATATGCCTTAATCATTAAACGCATTTGAAAAGTACCCTGGCATTTTCTTTCCCTCGTTTTCTCACTGTCTCCCCCTCCCAAAGTCCCCCTCTCATTTTCCTGTTGCACACACTCCAGTACCTTCCCATGCTTTCTTCTACCCTTTAGGTTCTTTCCTCCACTCTCACAGCCCCTTTAGTGCTTTCCTGCCATATAGATACTTTAATCCTAGATTCACATACGAGAGAATACATATTTTTCTCCTTTCAAGTTAAAACATGGTATTTGGCATTTTCATTCTGAACTTGGATAATTTTTCTTTTTATACTGATTTCTTCTTTGCAATTTCCATTCTTTTTTCCAGAATAATAAAATTCTACTGTACATATCATATATATATATATATATATATATATATATATATATATTCTCTCCGCTTATCTGAGCTTTGGCCATATTCTATATTATGCCATTGTAAATAGTGAAGTAAAAAATAAGGGCGCACAAACATCTCTCTGGTATGCTGGTGTAAATCCAGGGCGTTTTCCCACATAGTATATGGTCGAAATGATTCAGGATACTTTTGTTTTCAATTTTGGGGTTTCTCCATACCAATTCTTCTATGGCTGTATCAGTTTGCACTCCCATAAGTTACATGAAATGATTCTTCTTCCATGTTCTAACCAACAGTTGTCTGCTGCCATCTGTCTTCTTCACCATAGCCTCTGATAACATCTCAATGTGTTTTTAATTTGCATTTCCCTGTTGGCTAAGAGTGTTGAATGCTTATATTTACATTAACCATTTGTATCTATTCTTTGGAGAATGTATATTTAATTTTTTATTCATTTGTTGACTGGACAATTTAGGTGAGGCAAAGTTTAACCTTTGAAACTTTTCATAGATTATAGATAAAAATCTCCTTCAGATACACAGAAGAGAGGATTTTCTTCATTTACATAGGCTATCTCTTTACTCTAGAGATTATTTGCTTTTCTGTGAGAAAATTTAAATTACATGACATTCATGGGATTATTTCCTGTGCTGTTAGAATCCTTTTCAGACAGCCTGGTCTACAAGAGCTAGTTCCAGGTTCCAGGACAGGCTCCAAAACCACAGAGAAACCCTGTCTTGAAAAACCAAAAAAAAAAAAAAAAAAGAATCCTTTTCAGAAAGGCTGTCCCTGTGTTTGTATCTTGAAGTATTTTACTTCTTTTTTCCTCTAGTATCTTACATTGAGATCTTAAATTAATTTTGAATTAATTTTTAGCAGAGATATGTAACTTGTTGCATTCTTCTATACGTGGTATTCAGTTTTCTAAGCATTATTTATTTAAAAGGTTATCTCTTTTTCTGTTTATAATTATCATGTCTTTTTCAAAGATTCAGAGGTTTTAAATGGATGAATTTATTTCTGGATGCTCTATTCAATTCATTAGTCTCCATGACTCTTTTTGCAGCCAACCTGATATTTATCAGCATGGCAGCGCAATATGTGGCTTATTTGCAATCTTGATGACCATTCTATCATCAATATCAGTAGTGGATTGTTGGACAATTGCCTGTATTCTCTAAATTTTGTTTTCAATAAACACTGATTGGTCAGTAGCCAGGCAGGAAGTATAGGTGAGACAACTAGAAAGGAAGTAGAGGTGGGTCAGGGAGAACAGGAGAATTCTGGGAGAAAGAAAGTTCCTTCCAAAGTCCTAGCCCAGACACAGAAAAAGCAAGATGTGACTGCCTCACTGAAAAAGGTACTGAGCCATGTGGCTAACACAGATAAGAATGATAGGCTAATATACATTTTAAGAGTTAATGAGAAGCATGAACTAATGGGTTAATCAGTTTATAGTTAATGTAGACCTCTGTGTGATTTCTTTGGGACTTAACGACTGTGGGAACTGTAGGGCAGAAACCCTGACAACAGTGGATTAAGGGAAAATGTTTATAGATCAAAAGATAAAAGGTAAGGGACACAGAGGAGGAGAAAATTGTGATATGAAAACAACTATCTTAGACCAGATTCTGGGCATGGGAGAACTTTTTCAGAATTCTCAGCCTATCAGTCTTTGACTTCTAAGACGTGGGAGAGACAAAGTTCTCAGCTGCTTCCATTTACTCCAGTTAATTTCTGTTATTCCTTCCAATCATGAGTCTCACCTGCTTCCTGAGTGGGCTCCACACAGGGTTTGTGTGCCAAGGAGAATGCACATTTCATCTCTCTGGACTGAATGCTGGCACAGAATACAGTGCAGTGTCTCTTGCTTCTGAGGACTGTGTTTGCAAACTGGAGGGTGAGTTTGGGGAACATTGAGCTAACAATAACTCACTGAACATGTCTATTTGTCGATGAACTCCTTGATTCTGTAAGTACACCAAAAACTGAAATTCTTTGTTCTAGTCCTGCTGATATCAGAAAACACTAATATGTCCTTTTTCATCTTCTCTCTCTGTTATTTCCTCCTGACCAAATGACTTGGAATTTGTATAACTTTGACATCAAAGCAACCTGGAAGAGAAGAAAACAGTAGATGAAATGCAGACCAAAAAGAATATGAGCAAAAATAGTTTTGAATGTGTAGTTAGCAATCTCAGAACAAGAACTGTCCTTTTATCCTGATGACTCACCTGCTCCTAGAAGACAGTGGACTGTGCAACAGTGGAGCCTTGAAGTGAGGATGCCTTTGAGCTAAGGAAAGGATGAGGGTCTCACACCTCATCTGCAGCTTTCCTGTGATGTGCACCCCATTATCAAATATGGCTGCATACCATATACTTCACAAAAGATTTTAAGTTGACTTTTAAAATGTACAATAATCCATATTTTTATTTATATTAAGAATTTTTTAATTCAATCTTTTCTCATTTTACATAGCTATCCCTATTCCCCACTTCCTCCTCTCCTGTTTCCTCCACCTTTGCCCCCACATCACTTCTTCCATTCACTCCTCAGAAAGGGTGAGGCTTCCCATGGCGAGTCAACAAAGTCTGTCAATCACTTTGAGGCAAGACCAAGGCTTTCTCCCCTGTATCTAGGCTGAGCAAGATTGCACTGTCAATGCCTGCACAGACTGTCCACATCCCCAAACTGTCCCCTCATTCAGTGGGTTTAATTTGGTCCTATGCAGGTTCACCTGCTGTCAAAATAAAGCACTCTACTGCTAGCAATGTCATCTTTAGAAATACTGTTTTCTCCCCCTCCCCTGCCATGCCAGACTTTAAATTGGGATGCTCTGTCCTCCACATGCCCATTGCAGGGATTACAGCCAGTGGACACCACATTTCATGCTTTTTCATTAATTTGTGTCTTTTTTTCTATTAAAAATGTTATTTATTGCTTCCTAAGTTGCCATCTGCATTTTATGATAAAATCAATGATGTCTTCGAAAAGGGCAAAAGGCTGCTATATCTTAATATAGAGGCACTGCAAACTGCCTTGATCTAGATAATAAGATAACTTCATGAGGGGATAGGAGGCTAAAGGGGGACTCTGGTGTATTCTAAAATGAGATTTTAGATTATACAGTAATTTTCAAGCACTCTCTGGTGCCATGTCAATAAATAAAACAAAATAAAATAAAGTTTCCTCCAAGTATCAAAAATCATGATTCTGGGAATATAATAATATGATTATTAAGGCACATGATAACCATGTATAAAATGCTCTATATGAGTGCTTTCAGTGCTGGCAGAAGACAGGGGGAAACTTGCTTTCTTTTCCAAAAGAGGACGCAGACTGTTGTGATCATTAGAAGAGGGAGACTGCACACTCACAGAAGCAGGGCTTTGCTTACTTGACACTTAGCAGCAAAATTGAGTGCCGGAACTGCATACGTAATACACTAACATTTGAATGACTTGCGTACAGACAGATGTGCTAGAGCAGAGTTCTCCTCAAGAAGACGGTGACTGCACCATCAATACATGTTTCTTTCTCTTGAGATTTAAACCCAAATTCAGGAGCTAGCGAGATGTAGAACAGCTAAGGGCATCTGGCTCCAGGAGAGGCCAAGAATTTAGAACCCAGCATTCATATCAGATGACTCATATCTATAGCTCAAGCTCCGGGAGTAATGATCATGTCTTCTGGGTTCCATGGGCATCTGCACTCAAATATGTATACATATGTATTTGTGCATACATGCACATATATACACACAAATATTTTAAGCTAAACCTCAAATAAAAATTCAAAAACATAATACAAAGCAAAATCAATAGGATAGAAGGATGCCAAGAGTAGTTCTGATCTTCAGTGACTATCTAGTTCCAGCCATGGGCATGATGTGAAAGGGAAGTGATGACAGGTAAGGTCAGACAAGCATGAGACTGGAAAGGGAGGCGAGAATGTGATAGGAAGGACAGGTATCTAAGACCTGGCCTAGGGGTCTATTTCAGAGATGTCATAGCTTATTGCTCCTCTTCCTCTAAACACCCTCCAATCTTGTGTGAAATCTGCTGTGGCTGATGCCATGTCTGATAAACTTCTGCTACTTTCTTCCAGAGTCTGGCATCACCTGCTTCCTGAGGTCTGTCCACAATAGGGTTTGTGCGCTGAGGGGAACGCACATTGCAGTGCTGTGTACTGACTGCTGGCACAGAAGTACAACCCTGAGTCTCCTGCCTCAGAGGACTGGATTTCCAGGCTGCAGGGTGAGTTTGAGGGACACTTAGCAGAGAATCGCTTCTTGGCCATGTCTGTTTGTTCAATAATTTCTTCATTCCGGAAGTTAATCAAAAGTTTAAATTCTTTTTGGCTCTGATGATACCAGTAAAAGGCAGTATGCCCTTTTTCAGGGAAACAATCCATATTTGCTTTCTTTCCTTTCTCTTTGACCAGATGTCTAGGAATCTGTATTACTTTAGCATCAAAAGAGCCTGGAAGAGGAGGAGACAGAAAATGAGACCAGCTTGACCCTGACAAGGTAAAAGATTCACATCTGTAATCTGGAGTGTGAAGACAAGACCTTTTTTTCCTCAGTACTCACCTGCCCCAAGGAGACAAAGTGCTAGACAGCAGAGCAGCCTTGCACTCATGGCCACACCAGGGAAAGCAGAGCGTGCATGCACTGTTTTCATGTTCCGCCCTCAGCCTTCCTGTGACGTGATCCTCTGCAGACTCCAATGTGTTTCTGCCTCATGCTACCACTGAGGATGTTCTCAGTATCAGAAGAAAAAGATTTTCCTCACCTTCATAAATATAACTCATTGACTAATCATGCAGAACAGTTTATGTGTATTTTACTAACATAAACACTGCATTCCCAGTTAGTGAAGTCATGAAATTATAGGACTGTTGGAATTGAAATATACTACAGCTATGTTTGTGTTTTATTCTTTCACAATATTATTACATATATAATCATTACATGTATATATGTATTTTTATGTATGTGTGAATATATATATATATATGTATTGCTTTAATCATATTCTTACCATTGTCTCCACTTGCCTTCCCTTCCCAATGAACCACTTTTTCTTCCCAAGTCTCCCTTCTATTTTCTTAATTCATAAGTGATTCTCTCTCTCAGCCACCCCATTATTGTGATTACAGGCTCAAACCACCAGAACAGTTCCTTCCTGTTCTCATCTCTACATATATTAATGTACTAAAATCTCTTCCATTAGTTTTTTTCCTATTAAACTATTGACGTTATTTATTTTTTTAAGTCTCCGTTTGCATCTTTATCATAAAATTGATGATGTCTTGAGATAGAGCAAGAGGGATAGTGAAACTACCATCACTGCTAGAAGGGGCTTGTTCTGGTCACTAGATAAAGCCAGTGTAAGAGATATGAGAGAAAGACTTATGTGCTTCATTATGGGATTAAAACATACATCAATTGCAAATATTCTTGAGGTTCCAACACTCGTATGCCAGGACGTGTAATACTATAAAGTTATTATAATTGTCTATGATGTACATAACGTATAAGAGTTTCAATCCTGGAAGGAAGCTATGAGTGGTTTATTTCGTTTCTGGGAAAAAAAGTAGATTTTGAATATTTTCTTTCATTTTGAAGGGGCAGAGTAGATGAGCGTAAAGAAACATGAAGTGTTTTATTCAAGTTGAGCTCAAAGTAAATACAAGCAGTAACATTGTATTATTTAATCTTAAGATACTCCATGTGTGGACAGAGTTCAATGCTCAGTAAGAAAACCATGACTATTTCATTACAAAGCCATTTTCTCTTAAAATTTTAAATATGGGCTCAGAAGTAACTAGACTTCTCAGTGTGGCCAAATGATGCCAGCCAACCTTATCATCTTGGTAATCTCTTGGTAATCACCCAAGACTCCCCATGAAGACCACATGAAGGGAAAAGTGTGGTGTGCAGGGTCAGAACAGCAAAACAGACAAAGCGATGAGAGAAACACATGAAGAGTAGACATCCCTGGTTTTGAACTGTGGCTTCTAAACGTTCTTCATTCTTTATGAAGTCTGCTGTGGTTACACTGGCTCCAGCTCATTTCTCTCACTTCCTTTCAACCCAGAACATCACCTGCTTCTTAAGTTGGCTCCATTTTGGGTTTGTGAACTGAGGGGAAGGCACATTTCAGTGCTGTGGACTGACTGCTGGCACAGAGGTACAGTGCTGAGTCTCGTGACTCTGAACTTTTGATTTCCAGGCTGCACTCTGAATCTGAGCCAAACTCAACCGAGAATCGCTCTTTGACCATGTCTATTTGATCAAGAGGCTGTTTATTCTGAAAGTAAATCAGGAACGTTAACTCTTTGTCCTGTTTCTGTTGGTACCAGTAAACAGCAGTGTGTCCCTTTTCAGGGCTACACTTCATCGTTGCTTTCTGTCCTTTCATTTTGATCAGATGTCTTGGAGTCTGAGTAACAGCTGCATCACCAAAGCCTAGAAGAAAATAAAACAGAAAATATGAACATTGGCCAGGACCAACTCTGAGAAGGAAAATTATTTGGGTTTATTGCTGGTGAAATGTAAACAAGAGTTTATCCTATGAGCTTAGGTCTCACCTGCCTGAAGGAGGCCCAGTGCTGCACAGCAGATGAACCATGCACCCATGGCCACACTGGAGCAGCAAAGAATGTGGTGTTTGCATGCTTCATCAATAACCTTCCTGTGACGTCAGTCATTGGTAGACGCAGTCATTATGTTACTGTTTTGTGTTATCACCACATGTTCTCAGAAGAGCATTTCTGTAATGAGGAAATATAATTCCTTAAAGTTTCATTCATTAAAAAAATTTTATATCCATTTTGTTGTCATAATAGCACATCTGTATTTTAAGAAGATATAAAATAAACTATCAAATGTAAAATACTATGTTACTGTTAGATAATGCTTAAAACCCTTAACCTATTAATGATATTCTTTATAACACAACGGTGTTTTAGTGTTCTCTCTCTCTCTCAAGCATTTTGTGTCAGGATATTATGAAACTTACACTATAGTCTATAACTTGCTTACACTTGAATTTCTCCCATATCTTGCTTGCTTGATCCCAGGCACTAGCTATCACAGTACCATCAGCTTCTCCTTCTCTTCTTTTTGCACACGCTCTTTTCTCCTGAAGTACTGACTTTATGTTTCTGAAATCATCCTCTTCAACTTTATGATAAAACTGATGATGTCTTGAGAGAGAGAAAGAGATTGTGAAATCTCTCTTTGGTACCGTTTGACTGGTCATTCTAGGGCGGTGGGAAACATTATAGGGAGATAAGAGGTTTGGAAAAAATGTTTTGAACTTCTACATTAAAACTAGAGCCAACAATGAGTCTCAAGAGTCCTCTCATATTCTGCAGATATTTAAAATATAGACTTGATTTCTCAATAATCACATAATTGGTTATGTATTTTTTTCTTTTGAGATCTTTACACCCAGCTATGAAAGAGCCAGGTTGATCTTTATTAGTAATAATGTAATGTTGAAAGTGATTTCAGATCTTCGGTGACCCCCTTATTTTCACAGGAGTACCACACGAAGAGATAGAGAACGGACACAAACAGAAACTGACAAAGCTGAGACAAGAGGGGAAGAGCAGCATGTGTAGATCATTCTTTCCAGTTCTGGCCCCATGGTCTTTCAGCACGGCCAGGTTGTCACTTCTCTGCCAGACACCCAGCCACTTGGGAATCCTGCCGTGACTGACACTGGCTCCAGTTAATTTCTGCTGCTTTCTTCCCACCCAGAGCAGCACCTGCTTCCTGAGTTGGCTCCAGGGAGGGTTTGTGCGCTGAGGGGAAGGCACATTTCAGTGCTGTGGACAGACTGCTGGCACAGAGGTACCGTGCTGAGTCTCCTGCCTCAGAGGACTGGATTTCCAGGCTGCAGAGTGAGTTTATGGTACACTCAGCTACGAATCGCTCCTTGACAAAGTCTATTCTTTCACGAACTTCTTGACGTTGAAAATAAATCAAAAACTTCAACTCTTTGTTCTGCTTCTGTCGGTACCAATAAACAAAAGTATGTCCGTTTTCAGGGCTACAGCTCATCTTTGCTTTTTGTCCTTTCCCTCTGAATAGATGTTTTGGAGTCTGGATAACTTGTCCATCCAAAGATCCTAAAATATAAGAAAACAGAAGGTATGAAACAGCCCAAGAGGCCCAAGAGGAGTCTTGACAAGGAGCAAATATTTGAGCTACTGTGAGCAATCCTAAAACCAGGACCCACCTGCTCCCAGGAGACAAAGGGCTACACAACAGAGAAACCTCATGTTCATGGTCGTACTGAAGAGCAAATGGAGGCATCAGACCTAGTCAGCAACCTTCCTGTGACATCATCCCTCTTCAGATTCATAGTCATCATGATACAGACACATGTTGATGACACATTTCACAGTATAGAAGGAAAATTCCTACAGTGAATACATTTTTTTTACTAATATGAACAACACAAACATATTTTAGACAGGTAAAAATAAGCCACAGCACAAAGCATCTATGACTACTAGACAATGACCACACTGTCCACACACTGGTGATAATCTCTGATGTTCTCTGTCTCAGTGCCTCTTTCCATAGTATGTATGTGTGTGTGTGTGTAAGCATGATTATTTTCATATGCACATATATGTACTGAGACACATAATTTTGCCAAATTATTTTAATTGCTCTCATAACCTCCTTTTAGCTAATTGTGATCCTTCCCTGTCAGTGTATATTCATTTAGTTTGTGTTCAGTGTTTTTCAGTTGGCTCCTTAGTACCCTTTTACATAAACTTGTGCGTGGGTTTCTTTCTCACAGATGGACAGTGTCTTTGGCTATTTCTTTCTCACAGATGGACAGTGTCTTTGGCTATTTATCACCTATTTAACTGTATAACTGATCTCTATTATCACTTTTGTTTCATAATTTTGTTACCGACCACTGCTTTGAAGACACTTATTCCTGTGGTTATTTTCTTCTGTCTTTCAGCTTGTTCATTTACCAGTGTTTGTTTTTAGTTAGTCCCTCTTTTTCTTGCCCCAGTTTCCAGTAACTATTTAAGTTATACAATCTTTTTGTGACTTTTCTGTCTTGATTTTTTTCTCCCCCTCTTCCTATCTTCTTTCTAGACAAATAGGTCAACAGCCTGACATTTGAATTTCCATGAATTTTTCCTTATTCTGTTGAAGGTTCCTCCACCTTCTAAATTGATATTGAATATATCCATTAAACTTTGATAATATGCTAACAAAGTAAACATGTAGTTAATTTGAGTTAAGAAATAGTTACTATGCTTTTTGAAAGCTCTTGTTTCTTTTCCTGCATCCATGCTCTCTGTTTTCTAATAACACTGAAGTTTTTGTGTGGAGAACCACCCTTTCTCAATTTTGGTAGTATGAGATAGTGTCACATGTAGCTCAGACTGGCCTCAAGCCCAAACTCAGTATGGAGCTGAGGATGGATGACCTTGGTTCTCTTGACTCTTGACCTTATCTTTCAAGCACTAGGAAAGCAGGCATGTGCTACTATGCCTACCTATGTGGATGACTCTTTTATGCCTCTTTTACAATTTCTGGAGAAAGGAGAAATGGATGGAGGAAGGAAAAGGGGAGGCCTCCCACGTATATCCATTA